GCTCAGTCACAAAACGACCAGAGAGCTTCAACCCGACGCCACGCCGCAGGCAGGACTAGCTACGCTGGCCAGTGATTCCGTAAGTTTCAGCACCCCTTTTGCTTCCCGGAATCTCATAATGACTTCGACAGCGCATTTCTTTTTGCTTTATTTTTTTTTTATTTTTTCACGCACGCGACGCTACGTCTCAAGGTCACTACGTCCAACTGCGTCAGCCTCATAGCGGCCAGACCGAATCTGTTAATCCTAAGGGTTCTGCTGAAGGATCGCGTAGACGTTGCGTTTTACAGGAGACGAAGCTCGCAACCGACAGTCAGGCAGAAGCGATGATACAGTTCGTTCCGCGTCATTTCGCTATCTACCATTCAAAGGCGAATGGGATAAGCGGAGGGACGGCCATGATGATTCGCAAGCGAGCGTACATCACGGTTTTCCCCGAGTGGGAAACGAATGGAAACGGACGTGTTAGCACGTTACAAGTGCTGCATCTGTGGAAGCTACGCAATTCTGGATCGGTGTACGTCGCAAACAATGCAGCGAAGCGCGCCCGCTTTTTCAAGTCTCCCCCAGTACGTCGATACGCCTTGTAAAACGCTCCTCGTAGGTGACTTTAACTGCGTGCTGACTCAGTATGACTGAAGTAAGCGTTTGGAGTCGGACGTCAGCCGGTCTGATCTGCGGAATATATTACGTGACTTTGACCTGATGGATGTGAGGGACCATGTGGCAACAGAAGACCCCTTCTACACCTATAGGCAGGAAAGCTACCGCGCCCACCTCGATCGGGTGTACCTGTTGTGCGACTTCACAGCCTCGGCACCGGTGTCGGAAGTTCAACCTCTTGCCTTCTCAAACCATGCTCTGGGCAATGTAATGGTGGGAATACCAGTTCCTCGGATAAAGAATTCCTCATGGTGGCGCGGCTGGAACCTTAACGAAATCCTACTAGAAGATGAACCGTTGCGCGTCCAGATCAAGGACCTCATCGACGGAAGGACTGAGGGGGTGAAGTTGAGCGCAGTTCTCTGGGAGGACCTGAAGACGGATATCAAGCCAGCAGCGTACCAGTATATTATTGAAAAAAGCGACACGGGCAGAGGCAGACAAGCGTCTTTTGATAAAGGCCCTGGAAAACCTCAATGCGCAGGAAAAGATCTCATCGGGAGTCTTTATGCAAAGCAACAGCAACAGCAAGGGCCGTATTCTATAGCTCCTCGAGAAGGAATACCGAGGTGCCATGGTCTATAGCAGAGCTCTCTTCCTAGGGAGAGATGAAGAGCCGTGCAAGATCCTTAAAATAAAAAAGCGCCAGCAGGCTCATCGGAAGAAAATCGCGACGCTGCATGCGAATCGGTGAAAGCGAGGTATCCGGTCAAGAATAAATCGAAGGGGCTTTCTTGCAGATATACACTGAACTTTTTGCAAGAGCGGAGGAAAACGATCGAGGTTACCAAAACCACCACAGGGGCGCTGCCCAAGATATCCGAAGCTGTACAAAACAGATTAACTGGAATATAACTGCGTTGGAAGTCAAGGAATTCCTTGACTTCCGGTATTTCGGTATTTCTATAAGCGCGGACGACTGCCTCCGTCCATGCGCCAGGCGGTCAGGATGCTAGTCCTGAAGAAAAACTCGAAGGGAGTCCCGAAAGTCGGTCCCTTTCGTCCCGTCAGGCTGATGACGAGCGATTACAAAATCATTGGCAAGATACTGGCAATGCGGCTAGAATAAGGTCTGCAGGATGTCGTCGGAGATCATCAGGAGTACGCAATTAAGGGACGAACCATCGGCACCCACTTGCACGCGATGCGAATCGTCTGCGAAATGGTGCGGGTGCTCAAGATTCATCTGGCGGTGCCTCAGGTCGACCTCAACGACGCCTTCGGTAGGGTTTAAGGCTCCTGGGGGAATGGGGGGTTGGCGGACGTCTGCTCCATTACCTACAGCTCCGTTACCGAGACATCACGACGCGCCTGCTGGTCACTGGAAACACAACTGCTTTCTTTGCAAACACCAGATCTGTTCGTCAGGGCTGCCCAATGTCGCTGATACTGTTCGCGTTGTACCTCAAACCCTTGGGCAGGAGAATCTTCGATGACGCGTTTATTAGCGGGGTGACCCTGTCGTCAAGTGCGCTTAAAGTGCTCGCGTAGTCGGGCGATGTCTCGATAGTGTGCTCTACGCGGACGCACGTAAGGGCTGTGTTACTGCACGTTACGAACGTTTGTAGTGCTGGGGCGCGGTGATGAATTTGGACAAGCCTTTAAGTGCTTGGCTCGGAGACTGGAACCATGGAGCCCTAGACCTACCTTGGAGTGAACTCAACGACGGGAATGACGGACTACATAGGTATAAATTTAAACGCTGAACAATTGAGTGGTGGGGGCGATGACTGGCACATTGATCAGATCCGAAACAAAGTCCTGGTCTGGCACGCAAGGGAACTCTCTTTGTTCTATCATGCATTTACCTGTAACATTGTGAGCGTTTGGTACGCGGCGCAAGTGCTGCCGTGCTCCCAGAGTAAGATTGCGAAAGTGCGTAGCTTTTTTGCCGCCTTTGTTTGGGATTCATGTCTTGAACTTAAGTAGCGCGAGAATCTTTTTTTAAGTAATAAGAAGGGTGCCTTAGGGTTCGCGAATATTGAACTCAAATTTATGTTTCAGTGGTTTATTTTCTTCAGAGAGCAAAGAAACCTACTGATACTCCTTTCTTTTAATATATTGGGTGGACGTTTTCTGGCTCCGTGGCTGGATGGAGGCACTGAGAGCTTCCCGTCACGTGTCTTGAAGTTTTAGACAAAAATTAGAGCGGCAAAAGCCTTTTTTTTAAGCCCGCTTTCTAGATGAGTATCCAGAGAAAGTCAACCAAAAAATACTTTACTGGAATACCCTGACCTTAATAATTCTACTACCAATGTTCTGTATTTCCTTGGGAAGTGCTATGGTTCACAATTTGTTATGAAACATATTCGTCCTTTTTCATATTGAAGTGCTGCCCGTTAGCACGGGGCTCGTAAACAAAATGGGATTTTACGAGCCACGGTCAACGAACTGTGTGCTTTGTTCCACGCCGGAAACGATACAGCAAGTGTTTCTATATTCTACCATCCCGGAGCTTTTCTGGGCGAAAGTGCGAGCAGAACTGCAACTCAACCTATACGTGAGATGAAAGAACGCAAAGTTTTTGCATTTTGGCGTCCACGCTGCGAGCTGGACGTGGGAACTGTTAGCCCTGCTGGGCCTCTACGCGATTTGGCGGTCTAAAGTTGACCACTCAGAAGTTCGAAAAGGAACCAAATTTGCGTGGCAACACTTCTGCGACGACTTCACGTACGATAGCTGTTTGATAGAAGCGACGGAGCAGCAAAAGCTGGATGACTGGGCACGGCTTGAAGCTCGTATGCTTACACGCTTTGAAGGCACGAGGGCAAAGGCAGGTCATGAGGCTACTGTAAATGTGGCTTAGTTTTCTGTGCGAAATATTAATTGGTGACTGACAGGGTGACTAGTTTCGGAGAATAGGGCAGTCGCGGCCGTCACGGTTAGTTGCTTTCAGTGTTTGCACAACAGATACTGAAGAGTGTGCATTGTTGCTGTTGTTGTCCCGTGCAATGTGGACTCCCTTTTACGTTCTGGAAAAACGAGACTTTTTTTAATTGTTCTATATAAAAAGTAACTTTTAAGAATAATAAAAAAAAATCTAGTATGGTGTAGCCGGTTAAGGCGTCGCCTCGGATAGGCGAAAGTTGCGCTTTCGATTCGCACTCTGGCTTGCTTTTTCGCTAGCTCTCTTTCCCTTTCCATTACCTTAGCACCAATGCAATCAATTAAATAAATCACTTTCTCCTTTCTGCGCTCATGATATTACTACGGCTGCACTTGTAAATCTCCTCTCACCCCCATTTTAAATACAGTGCAGCCTGTCCCCATGAGGACGAGTGGTTCCCAGATAACTTGGAAGACGGACCTTTTCTGACATTTGCAAGCTGAAATAACGTACTACGTCACTGCCGTATCTGGGAACTAGTATGGGCCCTTAATCAGCAATGGCTGTCATCTACCTAGTTAAGCAAATTAGAAACTAACAGTACACATAATGACAAAAATAATCCCTTTAGAAGGGGAACAAGAGGGTCAAAGGACAAACACATAAAGCTGGTATAAAATTGAGTCCGCCAAAACCAGGTGACCGGGTTAGACTGTTCGGTTAAGGCGTCGTCCCGAAAAAGCGAAGGTTACGGGTCGTTAGGGCCGTTAGGCGAAGGTTGCGTACTTCCAGAGGCAGGAACTTCGTTTTGTGTTAAATAAGGTTAACACGTGTTAACCTTTATCATTACGTCAAGCAAGATCCAGTCATCACTTGTGTTAAGTTCACAGCCATATCTACTGGCAAGTCCCGTTTCCTAATGCATTGCATCAAAACGAAGTTCGTGACTCTGGAAGTGCGCGCTCTTTTCGGATTGTTGGAGCCATCATTGGGTCATGCCAGGAGAGTGTGCAAAATAGTGAAATTAGAGCATTGGTAGCGCTTGTCCTTGTCGTATACGTCTGTCTGTATTCTTCCTGTTTCAGTTCGCGCCTTTTAACATTTTCTCTAAACATTTTCTTTAAAGGCAACAATTTAATCAAAGGGCTTATGGGTCAAGGCCTTGCACTGGTTAGTTTCTATGTTCCCACCATCGGAACTGAAACAAATCAAGAAATACTTATGATTTGATAGAAGAACCCATTTTCATCTGTCATTAACGTGCGAAAGTGAGGGCATCCACTGAAACACAGTTTCATTACCGCCACTAGTTTATTGAATGTGGAACTGCTTTTTGAGCTACTAGAAAGCACTGAATTTAAAAAGAAGAGTATATAGCAGGCTCAGGTGGTGTAACTCCTGCGACCTTACACCTGAGCAGGTACGTCAGCCCTATATGGCTATAACGTCACTGACGGCTCAATACATATCGCCTTTACCGAATACTGGCGTAATTAGGGCATCTTCTATTTAGGTTTCTTGGTGGCACCACTACAACCGAAGGTGTCCCTGTTCACGATTTTTCTCATGGGAGGACTCTTTGCATGGGTGGGAGTTGTGGCATCTGCATTTGTGCCAAACATGGCATGGATGACGGTAACCCTCGGCGTTATTAACGGTAACACAACTTTTTACTTAATAAATTATATTATTAAATCGCTTCAATATTTGTTTCTGTACGGTACCTCGCGTCTGAAATTAATCGTGCGAGCATAATCAGGGGTCTCCACTGTGCCAAGCCTTCTGAAGCCTGCGAAGTTTCCTTTCGAAATCTTGATTGCTCAAGAAAGGTGGCGAATTTTTTTACGAAAAACACCTAATACAGGGCAGAAAAGTTTTACTTTAAGAATGTACACCCAACTAGCCCAACTTGCCGTTCTAACTGTGTCACGAATGACTGGCGCGTAGACAGTGAATAAAGAAAATAACTGATCGTTTAATGAGGCAAACTTGTGCCAAAACAAAAGAGGGAAAACTATAAGTCGCAGGCGTCGATGTCGGCGAAGCAGCAGGATTGAGATACATACTTATTTTATGGATTCAGGGCATGTTTATATTTATGTTCAAATTTGCGAGGACGAATATATAAATTATCATTCCAACAAAAGGAAAGTGCGACAGATATAGTTCTCGCATGTTGGACTTTAAACATAAGGAGTTGTCTATGTCGATTTGCGTCCTTACCTTCATTGACTGACATAAAGTGCTTTGTTGCACAGGAATACCTGCTACTCGCGATATAAAGAAACACTAAAAGCAACGCGTTCCTTTGTAGCCAACATACACTTTTCGGTAGAGTTGCATTAAATGAGAACATTTCTAAGCTGTTTGTATTTTCTAGAACTTCTAGAACACAATATATGGGGATTTTTTATTTTAAATATATAGCTAACTCCAGACTTGTACAAGTTACTAAAAAAACGTAAGGAATTACAGTTGCATTTACTCAGGTCTGAAATGTAATTTATTACAATTACAATTACCTTTCCGTAAAAGTAATTGACTGTTACTCCAAAAAGTAATCCGTTACTTTCGCGGCGTTACTTTCAACTTTACTGCATTATTACTAAGAAGCAAACAAGGAACGGGGTTATGCAAATGTTTATTGTTTGACCAAGTCACAGTTTGTTGATCTCAAGCAGTAGCTGACTGTCGAAAGTTGCATCCGACATCTTTCCCCGCTTTCTTGTAAAGATGTCAGCCGCCACGCTGAATACCCCCTCCACTGAGGCGCTGGATGAGAGCGGCAGTATGCCGCTTTCATCTAGCGCAGCAATACTTGACGCACCGCATCGAACTTCTAAAGTGAGGCGATGGAGGTGCACTCTGCGTCCAGGAGGACACGCGAAACTTTCTTCTGGGAGATGGAACTTCATGCCATTGTCATTGCAAAGCTGAAGTAATCGGTGTTGAAGTGGTCCGCGCCATCTCCCTGGGTAGATGGCGAGCCAATCGTTGTTTCTATTATGTTGTCTATTATGTTCATACACACTCCAGATTCTGGAAGGCATTATTTGTTCCTCTCTACTTCATTGGGAATAGACTTTTTCCGCCTACCCCCGCCCCCGACCGCCAAGTAAGCATATCCGGTATGGGCGACGAAAAAATATCGAAACGTTTCAACCTGCAAATAATAAACAAATAGGGGTAAGGCAAAGCGAGAATGTTTGACGGTTACATTTTTGTCCTAAATGCCTTCTATTGGCGTGGCGACGGCAAAACAATGTTTTTGCCCATACTGGAAGTGACGACAATTCAAGATGGCGGCGCCCTTGCAAAAAAGGTCTATAGCGAGGAAAGAGTGAAGGAAGGAAAGGCGGACTTAGCTCTAGTGGGACGGAAGTGGAAAGATGGATTTTCCCTAGCAAAAAAGGCTTGTGAGCAAAATGGCAAAAAACGAAAGATTCTTCCCGTTTTTTTTATACGTTTATGCGGGTTTTAGGAATGAATGTCTTGGCCCGTTGTTGTCATGGCCTTCTACCGGGTGATTCAAGGAGACGGCAGGCTCTTTAAATCGACCGGAAAATTCAGTTTCCTAACCTATCGCGCTACCACTTTGTGCAGCGTTGCCCACAGATGGTGCATTTTTTTTGTTGTTTGTAAAATTTGCAAAGAGCAAGCTTACCTGAGGAAAAAGTAAAGAAAGAAAAAGGCTTAGCTCCTATGGAAACGCAGCGACACCACCGATCTTCAAACACGGCGCCGTTGCGCACGGGAGACAAGAGATGGCGCAACGAACGCCGCCAACAAACGAGCATACGGCGCCGAGAGCCAGCGTCTTTAGCAGACAATCTTTTCGACTCAAAAGCGGTGCGCGTTCCGCGGGCGGCGACAGTCGCAGAAACAAAAACAGGTGCGGTAACTACAAGGAACTGCAGTTCCTTGTCTGATAAATACGCCGGCGGTCGGCGTCGTCTGCTCGTTCGCTGGCGGCAGTTGGCGTCGCGACCGCTTGCGCCATCTCTTGTCTCCCGTGCCAAAAGGTGCCGTGTTGTTTGAAGACCGGTGGCGCCGCTGCGTTTCCATAGGAGCTAAGCCTTTTTCTTTATTTACTTTTTCCTCAGGTAAGTTCGCTTTTTGCAAATTTCACAAAAAAAAAAAAAAAAAAAAAAGCACCATCTGTAGGCAACGCTCCACAAATTCGAAGCGCGATAGGTTGAGAAACCGAATTTTCCGGTCGATTTAAAGGGCCTGCCGTCTCCTTGAATCACCCGGTATTGTTTTCGAACCGAGACCGCTTCTTCCCATCAGTGCGCACCCTTCGTCATAAATAAGCAATCTAAAGAATCAAGATAAAAAAGTGCTTTTAGGGTTTAGGCGATGAAAAGAAAAGCTTCGACATGTCTTTGTATGTGTGTGTGAGTGCGCGTGCGCGATGGCAGGTTGGCAGTACAGCTTACCAGAACATTTTTTTTTTCCAGAAATTGGAGATGTTTTCTCCTGCGTTCAAATTTCCCGCTTTTTTCCCGCTAATAAAAAACAGTAAAGAATTGCAAGTAACCTAAGTTCGACGTGAGCGCGTTAATGAAGTTAAATAAAAACAGTAAGAATAAGCATAGGGACGGAAAGAACAGCACCTGAGGTGCTGTTCTGTCCGTCTTAAATAATTCCTTACATAAAGTAGTAACTAAAATACTTTACAATTACTCTAGAAAATATGTAACGAATCCGTTAAAAAATTACAAATAAATGTAACGGATTACAAGTAATTTCGTTACTTGTAACGGATTACGTACAAGTCTGACTAACTCTAGCCAAGATATAAAATCCAATAGATTATTTGCGTCCGTGAATCTACATGATGCCTTTGTCACGGTCCCTAATCGGTCGGCCGAACACAAAAATAGTTTACCTGTGAATCTCAGTCAAGATTTACTCTAACACTAATGATCTGTCTTAAACATGTTTCCGCTTCCTTTTATAGATTCATACCGCAAGGTTAACCGTGGTTAAATGCTGTACCTCGAAAAAGGAAGTCTTTCTGATTAAAGTTTCTTGATTATATTTAGATCCGGTATAAAATAAAGAAACTAAACTAAACGTAGGCTCACTAGTGGAGGCCATTTGTAAAATCGTAGTAATGGTTGGCACGATTATAAGTAAGTTGTTGAATCGCCCTCAAAAGCATCAGTAATTCTCGAGCTTCACCATGTGAGCAACCATATAATCTTGAACAAGAACGGATTTGTACCTACATGATTTATCTTCAACTATCAAAAGGAAAATTTCTCGCATGGCGTAGATGTCGTGTACTTGAGATACACTCCCCTGGTAATACTTTGCAATCATAACCTAGTAGAACGCTTTTTAGCAAGAATTTAGAAAGTCCAATGTTGCTTATCTTGAGTTATAGAATCACTAAAGTTGCTGCATTGAGTTTACTTGTGGGTGGCAAGACACTGAACTCATATCAAAACCGAAATACTAAAAAAATAGGAACAACAGAAATCTTGCTGGTTTATTGGAGCGTTTTAGTCACCTGAAAATGCCGTCACGAGTCATAATTGGTATACAATTCTATTCTCACTGACTGTTGGTGGCATTCCACTCAAACAAGTGCTGTCGCGCAAAAAGGCGGCATTTGCGAAAACCATGATATCGCGCGCGCGTGCCCCTTTCAGCACTACCCTAAACTCATGACATTCACTACACCACCCAGCAAAGCCCACGCTGAAAGCAGTGTTTCAGAAACAACGTTTTGAAGCTGTTCATAATTCAATTAGTTCGTGATATATTTTTTCTACTTTGTTTCAGGTCTTGGAGTTGGAATTACTACAATGACGTATAGTATACTCCTTCCAATGTATTTTGACAAGTACAGAGGCTTAACATCGGGAATGAAGTACGCTGGAGCATCATCCGCTGGTCTGGTTTTTCCCAAGCTTCTCGCCTACTTACAAGAGGAGTATGGCTTCCGTGGTACGCTTCTCATCTGCGGAGGCATCATTATGCATGTCTCGGCAATCGGTATTTTTGTCAAGGAGCCACCCTGGACGAGCTTGAAGAGCATCGCGAAGGATGCGAAAAATACAACTAAGGAGCGTTCAGTCGAAATTCAAAACATATCGGTTAACACCCAAGAACTTCATGACCTTTCAACGACTGTTCCGCGAGAACAAGTGAAGAAACATCGACCCGCTCTAGTATTATTAGCCAATCCCATGCTCTACATTATTATTTCAATGGCAGTGGTGGCAGACTTTACAGGAGCTGCATATGTCTCTACCATAGTCGACTACGGAGTAGATAAAGGCTTGTCGATCAATGATGCAGAATCACTCATAATATACGGGTCTTGCAGCGAAATCGTTGGGCGGCTGCTCCTTCCTTTACTGGCTGACAAAGGATGCTTTCGACGCACAACCCTGGTCATGGCGACCCTTTTTATATGGGGATGTTCAATGATGCTTTTCCCGCATTCATCTCTTCAAGTGCACATTATACTGGTGTGCTTGTGCGCATACCTCTCCTACGGATGTCTACAGTCTATGAGGAGCGTCCTCATGGCGGATTACATCGGTGTCCAATGGATCTCCATATGCTACGGGCTCTCAGGGTTGGTCTTAGTACCTCTCAATTTCTGCAGTCCATCGATAACAGGTAAGTAGGTCTGCAATGTGCTGGAGGTAGGAAGTAATGTAGACAAGTACTCAATCCCGAGTTTGTTTAATCTTTTAACTATTTTGTAGAATTCCAAGAAAGGTTGTAGATATATGTTCTTATAATTGTTTACTAGCACTATTAAGACATTAGTTTAATTGTCTTTACATGAAATCAAGCTGACCTAAACGTTTTACATGAACAGTAGCCTGGTGGATTAAATGCCTGTAGATTTTTGGATATGAGAATTGCTCGAACTCACCCCTTCAGTCAAATACCTTGAAAATTTGACATTTGTTTAATTATTTGCCCAATATATTATTTTTATTTAGAATTTTATCGGTCCTATGCAGGATCAGGATAGGAGTGGCATCACACAATCACATTGAATCATACGCACAAAGTACACACGTCAATACAAAAGTACAATACAGCAGTAAATCAGTTTAGGTAATGCTGGCAGAAATGCCTGAGGTAAGGGAACTAAATTCATCTCAACTTCTAGCAGTCACGATATGTGCTGGGAGCGTATTTCATTCTCGAGCTATTTTCAAAAAAACTGAATACTTGAAACAATCCTTGAAAAACTTTCGCTCTCCACATATATAGTATTCTTATTACGTGTGATTCGCGACATGTTTCATTTATGTACTGCTGTTTCTTTACAAGAACTAAGTTATTTACTAGGTTGTCAAAAAAATTATAACGTTAATTTTTTCTTCTTATTTTAAGATGGGGCAGATTCGCTCTGCCATAAAGAGGTGACAGTCTTCGATTACGAAAGTTGATAAAACGTAACGCACGTTGTTGCACCTGCAACACATTTGAAACTATATTGTTCGGGTCCCAGACTTCGCACGCGTATTCTAGTAAAGGCCTTATTAACATCTTGTATGCCATGATCTTTGTTTCTGACGAAGCAATTTTATAATAGCGCTTAATGTAACCATACATTTTGCTTTTGCGACTATGTTGCTTACGTGCGGGGGGTCGAAATTAAATCTGAAGTTGTAGTAAGACTAGCGTATCTTACTCTAATATTCGGCTCCATGTTATTCTCTACAGCGTATACCTCTATTCCAGCGACTGTCGATTGTGAGTGATAGTCATACAGTTTACCAAAAACCCCGAGGCTGAGACGGGAAGGGAGGGGCAAACACAGTCTCAAACACAGAGCTATATTTAAGACTTTGTGTTTGTCCGCCCCTTCTCGTCCCACTCTAGGGGATTTTAGTAAAATGTTTAACCACGACCAGCTCGTTTGCGCCCTAACCTTTTGTTCATAGACATACATACTGTCTTATGTTCAATATGACTTTTGCCACTTAATACACCATTCATTAATTTTTCACCAATATTAGCTTAGTGTAATTTGATCATTAAGAATATTATTAATGATAATAATATTAATAGGCTTATTTTTCATCCTTAATGGTAGGAAACGAGCGAAAAGCCGCTAATTTGCAGCTTGACGAGCCGTCGGCTCCCGTACAATGGCAGACAGTGGAGGCGAAACTCATGAGATAAAGGTTGCTGAAATCAGCTTGTCATAAATACACGCGAGGGGGAACAGACGGGTGTTTAACCCACAAGTACACTTTAAGGCACAGAGAGATGAAAGATCAGATTAAAAAAAAAAGATACTCTCGAATTACAAACGAATTACAAATGCAACCAGAAAACAAGCGATATACTGACTCTATGAAGTCAGTTCAGTGGTCATGTACGATAAAGTTCAGAAGTGAAACGTACACGTAACAATAAAACAGGTGAAAAATACAAACGCAGACATTAATAGCATTTGCAATTCAGGTGTGAAAAAATCCTAATCGGAAACAAGACATAAAACATTTAAAAATAAAAATAAAGTACAAATATAGCAATAAATGTTAAAAAATGTCAGAAAGCCACAATAACAGACGTACAATAACAACTAGGTGTAGGACTGGGAGCTTAAAAAGGCGTAAAACCTGGCGGCCAAATGACTCCCATGTTTGAGAACAAGTTAAAGAAGTCCTTAAATAAAAGTACACTTAAGTAAAATGTAAAGGTGATGAAAGCAAATACACAAAAAAGAGCCAAGAAAGAGCAGGACAGAATACACTTCCCAAAAAGATAAAAAAACAATTGTAAAAAAAGGAAATATAAAAAGAAGACGTTTCAATTATATATGAAATGAGCGTAACTCCCACATTGAAATGGTGTTCAAGACCGTCTGTTCCTACATGCGACTGCTGAGCAACCCTGGTAAAAGATGTCTTATCATCTGTGTTCCGTAGTAACATCTGCATATTTCCACCTTCCAGTACTCCTTGCAACGTTAGGGAAACGAGTGATGTTAAGCCTGTGACTCATCTTTTATCTCAAAAATAAGACTTTGAGTAAGTCTATAATCTTACACGTTAAAAGTTTTATTATAGAAAGACTTTTAAATAAAGGTGAAGCATGGGAATCATATGTAGTGTTACAGATATTACGCACCACTTTCTTTTGCTACAGATATATGTTTTCTATGTTGATAAAACCTCTCGACCACCCACACAAGATAGCCATAGCTTAAAGGCGAGTAAAATAACAAGTTGTAGCTCAGCAGTTTTATATTAGTGGGTAGTAGGTCCCACGACGACGAATATCTCCGATGGCCCGTGTTAGCTTCGCACTAACTGAATATACTTCGTGTCCCCACGTCATATGCTCAAAGAAAGTGACTCCAGGGTTTCAAAATAACCAAGGCGTTCTATAGCACTAGACTCGTATAATAATAATCGTGCAAAGCACACTTTTTGTTTTGTTTTTGGGGCGGAAATGTATTACGTAGCGTTGCTTTTGCAATATTAGTTTGCAAGGAATTCTTACTCTCCCATTCCTTTAACCTTAATAAGGTATCTTTTGCCACCATTATAATATCGTCACAAGTATCTCACAGAAATAGAGAACTTGTATTGCCTGCGTAAATGGTGAATTTGACGTTTTGATAAATTAAAACAATATTGTTAACGTATATATTATAAAACCGAGGACAAAGCATACTTACCTGTTGGACTGGAGAGAATAGGCTTCAGATAAGAGCAGGACCCATTTATATAAACATGTTGACGTCGATACTCTAGGTATAACCAAAATCTCGACAGAGCTTCTCCTTGAATGACCTGTAAACCGGGCCTTTTTTTAAGAAGATCTCGTTGTTTAAAAATTTACAAGCTTCTGCGAGGTGGACAAAAATTACAAAAACCACCCTTTCTCCTTGAAAGTTATTGAAAATGCATTTTCTTTGTGCAAAAAGTGGCGATTCAGTTCAGCGTTTTTTTTTTACGAAACGCATGTTGTCAAATCGTTACTTCATTGTGTGTATCAAAAATATGGTTAGGCCTTTATAAAGGAGCTTTTCCGTTCCTTTCAAAAATAAGGGAAGAGTTGTTATTGGCTGGCCTGTAATTATTCAAATCGCTCTTGTCACCTTTTATATGTTTTATAAATACCCCTTTGCAGGTATAACTTCAGTATAAATAACACAATTGTTCCCAAACAATCTGGATTTAACAGGGGAGTCTTCGATGAGATTATCAACAAGTTTTATCTGTATGCATACGAAGAGCCCCATTATAGTTGCAAGGATGAAGCACCGCCGTAATAGACGTACTTTAATTAAACCGTCTACTACGGTGGGGTCTAGGTCGATTAGTTTGTCCTGGCAGAAAATACTGTTTGTTTTTTCGGCACGTTATTGATCTTCACTCATTTCTGGCGGCGTCTCAATGTCTCAAGGGTCACACTGTGCGTCAAAAATTTAATGCATTAAAAAAAAAAAAAAAAAAAAAAAAAAAAAACTAAACTTGCTTCTTAGTTTGAGCCGCATCTGTGTGCTCGGGCTTTGCGGAAGACTGTCCGACGTCATGTTAGTTTATCACTCTGCAGGATGATGTAAATTATAAGAATCTAAAAAAAAACAAAAAAAACAACAAATATAGTGCTCTATTTCAAAAAGTGATGATTGCCGCGATAGATCGGAGTGATCGGCTCTGAACATTACTGCAAAATGGAGTTTGCGATTTGTTGTTTTTATTCTTTTTCCAGGGTTCTTTCGAGACTCCGGTGGAAGTTACGACGGCCTGTATAGGTTCCATGGAGGAGTACAGCTGGTAGTTGGTGCCTTATTTCTGCCAGTTGTTTTTGTCGAAAGAAGGCACGCAAGTCTGTGGACGCTGAAGCGGAGTACAGAAAAATAGATCTTGAAAAAGTTTTAAAACACGCAATATTTTTTCTGAGAACATGCTATATGCTTGGGAATGCTGATTTAAAAAAAAATCGCTTCGTCACCTAAAGAATTTGAAAGTATTGTGGCTTAAATGTCTTGCGTGCATGTGCGTCATTTTGTGTAGGTTGTACAAATAAAAGAGACTGCGTATATTGAGAATTCGTAATAAACCCAAACATCTTTTTTTTTTATATAAACAAAAATAACCATCTTCCTTTTGTCACCATCCTTGTCAATCGTGCAGTAGCTTTGGTAATATATTCATAGTGAACTAGGCGCACAATGTGTATGTTGCGGTGCCTTTTACTTTTTAACTGCATAATATTTCTAACTTCCTGCAGCGACAACTAATGTATGTTCTCGCAATCTTTATACATCATGACTACATTCATTGAACTACAGTCACAATTTTTATGCAGCTAAGGACTCAGTAGGACAGTATTCGTCTGCGTATGTCGTGTTGTGAGTACACAACTCTTAAGTAATGCACTACAATCTATATTGTGACTGTTCGTTGAAAGCGTATGGAAAACAAAATATCAAAGGCACTAAAAAAAGTTGACCACTACCCCTGTTTGACGTGTGCGTGTTCTTCGTTTATTTTTTGCAATAATTCAGTATTCAAAACTTTAAGCCAACATCTTTCGATTCTATCTGTATTTGCAATTTCACGAGAGTATTCGGAGCACTGTCGTTCAATAAGAAAATATCTTTTTTTTTGTCTGCCATCTTTATTCGACTGAAATGATAGTTGCGTATGTGCTATGACTCACTCGTATATTAAAATGAGCTTAATGAGTAATAATATCAAGAATCATATCAAAAGAAACCTGCGGTTGCCCCTTCTAAAACGAACCAAGTCGAAGGTTATGCCTGATCGTTTTCTAAGTTCTGTAGTTTTTTTCTGTTTCTGTTTGTCGATCGCAATTTTTGCCTTACCCCGTTTCTGATGGTAAGTTTCCCGACAGAAAGTTTTAAAGTGTAATAGTGTAGACAGTCGTATTTACACATACGCTTTCTCAACAGAGTTTAAAATATTTTGCTTTAAACTTTGTGCCATAACCACACTGTGCCATAACCACACTCATAATAATAGACTGTGCCATAACCACACTCAGAATAAATGCAGAAACTTCAGCAGCAATGCATTCGAGTTGCTTAGATATAATTTTCCATGAATATTTAAAGAAATTACGCGTAGATTTCTAAATGGGGAATTTACTTTTGTAATTTTATATACTGTAAAGGACTTAATTTTCACAAGAACCCAATTTTCGCGAATTTCGGAAATCGCCTACAATTCGCGAAAAATAGGTCCCGCAAACAATTTCGGTAAAATGTAAACACATTACAATTTATATTCTACATTGAAACCCCAACGCGTCGCGAAAATTAGAACCCGTGAATTGTTCCCAAACTTCAGCTTTGACCAAAATCGCGAAATATTGAGCCCACGAAAATGAAGTTGTTTACAGTATGCGGGTTATGGTTAAAAAGTTCTATGTGGCAGCGGTACTGTGATTAGGAGAAACACCTTAGTTTGAATTAATGCTTGACATTAGTATTGCTGCAAGGCTTTTTTATCGTCTTAAGCACTAATAGCTAAAATGTGGAAAGTGATGAAGCACCCCCACTGTAGGGGTCCCCCTGTTACAGGGTTACACTTTCAGTGTGATTACCCCAAAACGATGCCCTGTCCGAGACAGGGCTTCGTTTTTGTGTAGTTCCAAAAATAAGTTCGAGCACCTTTTGCCGCAAAGCCCTGTCTCGGACGGCGCGCACGTAATAAACTGGGCCTCGTTCCTTCAGAGAACGACTGAGAGCGCTGCAAGTGCGACGCGTAAAAGCGAGGTCACGTGTTTTGTTCTTTTTTATAATATCTCGGACTTTCTTTTTAGGCGAATAGAAAGGGCGTGAGTGTATCATGTAGGAAACTTCTTAATTTGGTGTTTCTTAATGCGCTCTGAAACATTCCAATTTACATATTGGCTCTAAACGAATAATTAAAATTGTGGTAATTTCTTTTAATTGCCAATATAATTAGGCGCACATAAAAAAAAGTATTGTGCAATTTCCCAAAACGCTTTCTTAAAACATACATTTGGTTCCACTCTCTCTGGGCGCTCCGTCTTGTTTCTAAACTTTAGTAGAATGTATCTGGGATTTATCATTATATATACGATAAATCCCGATATATATATATATATATATATATATATATATAAATCGGGTGGTTCAAGTCACCAGGTTCGATCTAAAATGGACTGTAAAATTCGACGCCTGCACGTAGCCATCTAAGCTTTTCGTGAAAGGAGTATTTCACAGCACCCAGGTTGGTTTTTCTTGTAAAATTACGAAGCGTATTTCTCTTTTAGTGAAAAATAGGGCCAAGAAGCTTGCCAGGGTCTACGGCGGGCGGCGACCCACACGACCAAGTCCAGTAGCGGGGTGCGTTTGGCGTTCGTATTGGGCGCGTTCAGTAGCGGCTCCAGGAGTCAAAGAGTCAGCGCTCCTTCCACTAGACGGCAAAAAGCGACTTCCGGTGCACGTAACTCCGAGTTTTCGGAGTCAGGTTCTCGTGCACCGTCTACGGGGACGGTGCATGAGGAGTGTAAGGAGCGAGGCATGACGTAATTCCGGATCGCGACGAAGTTCTGGCGCTAAAAGAGAGAAAAGCAAACAAAATGGAGGGACAAGCTGCTTCGGTTCTGTAGCGGGTGTGCGGTTTGCTCGCTTTGGGTAATGAAAAGTGCTCAAGGTAAGACGAATAACGCGTTCGAATTTCTTTTTCAGGTAAGGCTCTTTTCGGAAATGCATTGGACCGTATTTTGTTTGGTTTGACTATGCTAATAAACAACGTAAACGTTCATTTGACGCTGTGTCTTGACCGCCGTTGCACAAAAACTCGGTGAATATCGACGATAGTCCTCTCCGCGCTGAAAAGAGCAAGGCAGGGTATGAATGCGACTTTGGTAGCCGCCTGGACATTCACGCACAGCATGATCCCGATTAATGTTTTGTTTGCGTAGCTAAATCGGGGTGCACGTTGGCTGACGCTCCCTTCGGCCGACAAAACTTTGATTGCCGAGCGCGGCTGAACTTTGCATGTGTATACGAATACATTTTATAGGAAGTTCGTTACGAAGGGCAGAACAAACGTATCGCCGTATAAAAGTATCGCAACCGGCAGCGTAGATTCGCCGAGCTCTATATCTTGCGTATACTGAAGACGTTTTTTTGTCGGTTTTTATAACAGTAGCTGGCCTTTGCACCGCCAAGCGAATGGCTCGATCGCGTTGTATCGCTTCGAACAACAGCGCTGATATGTACAGTCACCTGCTTTTTCTTCAACGCCTTTGTAAAGACTTCTCCAATACCGGCGTCAAACAAAAGCGAACGTGCTCGCCATCGTCTGCTTCCAGTTTATTCAGAGACAATCTGGCACAAGGGAGGAAGCGGAAATTGCGTAGAAGCAGGTTTGAGGTTGCGGGTTTTTTCCTTTCAGTAGGCGCTCCGATGACTGCGACTCGAGTCACTCCGTCCGGAGCTGAGGGATCCGCTACTGAACGCGCCCATTGGTAGATGACGTCGGGAGCAGCGTCTGAAGGCGCAGCCGACCAGTGAAAGAAAGCAGACGAGACGCAGACGAAATGCGTTGGTCGCAAAAGCACCGCCGTTATCCAGGGACGTTTTTTTACTTTAATGTTTTGCTTTTATTGTTCGCATTTATTTTTTAAACGAAGGTACATTTAAAAAACACCATATTCATTTTAATAAACCATGGTGGTCGCGAGCCGTCGCGATAAGGAGGTAGCGCCATCTTTCAATACGAACGCCAAACACATCCCGCTTCTGGACCCCTGTCGTCTGCGTGGCCGTAGACCCTGGCAAGTTTTTTTGCCTTATTTTTTACAGAAAGAGAGCTACGCTTTGTAATTTTACAAGACAAAATAGACCTGTGAATTATTCCTCTGACGAAAAGTTTAGATTGCTACGTGACGGCGTCGATTTTTACGGTCCATTTTAGATCGAGCCTGGTGACTTAAACCACCCTATATATAGTTCAAAGGCCATATATATACTGGGTGCATCACGAAGTGGCCAGGCTCTTTAAATCGACCGCAACATTAGGTTTCTTAACGTATCGTGTTAGACTTTGTGCAGCGTTGCCCACAGATGGTGCATGTTTTTCATAAAATTTGCAAAGGGCGAACTTACCTGAGGAAAAAGTAAAGAAAGAAAAAGGCTTAACTCCTATGTAAATCCGGCAAAGCCAAAGGTCTTCAAACAATACGGCGCCGTTTCACACGGGAGACAAGAGATGGCGCAAGCGGTCGCGATGCCAACTGCGCCAACGAGCGAGCATACGGCGCCGCGAGCCGGCGTATTTAGCAGACGATCTCTTCGACTCAAAAGCGGAGCGCGTTCCGCAGGCGGCGACAATTGCAGTTATAAAAGCAGGCGCGGTAGCAACAAGGAACTGCAAAGCACACGACATTGGTAACCCCCCCCCCCCCCAAAAAAAAAAACAAAAAAAAAACAGTCAAAATATCCTGACAAAACCATTTTTCTAATCGATTATGTGTCAATTTAATATGTTTTATCACTAAGGATGATAAAATAAAGCATTGGCAGCTGATATCAGAAAAGCTCGCGCCGCTTTTGAGTTGAAAAGATCGTCTGCTAAAGACGTCGGCTCTCGGCGCGGTATGCTCGTTTGTTGGCGGTTGGCATCGTGGCCGCTTACGCCATCTCTTGTTTCCCGCGCGAAACGGCGCCGTATTGTTTGAAGACCTTTGGCTTCGCCGCATTTCCATAGGAGCTAAGCCTTTTTCTTTTTAAACTTTCTCCTCGGGTGAGTTCGCTCTTTGCAAATTTTACGAAAAAAATGCGCCATCTCAAAGTGCAAAGTCGTGGTGAAATGTACTGTCGTGGCGTCACGCGACACGGTAGCTTGACGACGTCACGTCGGGCCACGTGACACTACACCACGAACGCCTTGTCACTTGATACCATGGCCGATGTTACTAT